GGGAAGCCTGTCCTGGAGAAACAGCCCTGTTGCCCCACCTTATGATTTTTTCCCTCAAACAACAGTCTACATTTCATGGCACTGAGTCAAGCTATGAAGGTCATATGGTGGATGCCCATGGTAAATGTCAGTAATTTTTGACAGATTTGTAGCACATATAGCTTGTCTGTATTCCTCTTCTGATGTTCCTATTATCATTATTTATCACTGCATCATGATGCTTCCTACTCCCAGTGGAGCCCCACTCTGCTAAGTTCTATAGAAACACATGCCTGACGTTGCTGGTTTGGCTACACTCCAGTAGATCAGATATATTCATGTGTCTCCTGCCTAGCTATTTTTGTTGAACAAAAGGGATATTTAAAACACTGGGGAGATGAGAGTGAGGGGAATGATCAAATAAAATAATTTGCTTGCTAATCCATAAGCGTCCTGGCTACACTCTCCATTGCACTGATAGAAAAACATGACTAGTTCTTTGCTGGATATGCAACTATCCCAGCATGTTCTGTAAGTTGCCACATACCTACTGACTTCAGTATGATCTGCAAAGCAGAGGGGTGCTGTGATGCTTTCCATTATACAGATGAAGCTCTGGTATCAGTGCAGGTTCATCATCGTTTGGAGCAGATGCTGAATCTCTGTGATGTGAGCCTAATTAAATTAACCTACTCTTTCCTATCAAAGCCTGGTGCAAAATATTCCTAACTGGCCCACTCTTGGCTGATGTGGTTGAGAGAATATCCGCAAATGGAGGGTTCTCTCATGTGCAAAAATGTCCTGGACAGTGTCCTCCTGCTAAGCTACACTGTTTCCAGCATTGTACATTGTGAGTTCAGGGTCACAAGTACAGTCTCTGCAAGTTTCTGTGAAGTGGCACAGCAAGACTAATCTCAGTCTCTGATGATGCAGAGTGCAGGACCAATATGATGGGCTGATATTGTTCTGATACACAAGGGATCAACCTTGCTTCTTGGGGACCATACTGAAGCCAAGTATACGACAAACTGTATTTGGGTAGGAAAACCCATAATTTTTTAATGCAACCTGTGCTAAGAATTTTGTTACTCCTGCAGGAGAAGCAATGGATACTCCTGAGAATGAGATTTCTCTATAAAGTGCAGAACCCAGAGCCCATGCTGAACACTGATTCACTAGTAGATTCCTACCCCATAGAGGACCTTGCAGTTTAGAGGCTATAGAGCAAGAAGGTGAAGCCAATAATGGCACTTTCTGCAGCCACTTCTGAATGGAAAGGAAGAGGAACCCACACCTTCTCAGCCACATTTGCAGTGACTGAGGAAATCCCTCCTCTGAAAATACCTTGTTCAGACTAAGCAGTCAAAAGCTGTTGAGATGAAAGGCCCCCATAAACTTACGTCACCTCTACCAAACTTGACCTTTCCTCTGTCCAAAACAGTGTCCAAATAACCTTTGACAGTGCAGTATTACCCAGCACAGAAGGAACACTTTGAATAGATCATTTTTCACAGGCCCAGCAAATAGCCCAGGTTCCCTGCCTTAGCTTAGCTCAGATGTTAGCACTAATTCCCACTTGCTCTGTTCCCAGGGATGAGCAGCCCTGGCTATGTGGCTATTTCCTGGGGTCAACGCTTGGGCAACTTGTCTGACTTCAACTTTGCGTAGTGTGGAGGCACAGATGAAAAAGGAAATAGCAGCCAGGATGGAAATAATGTTTTTTTTTCAGTACCTGTTGGGGCAGGGGCATGTAAAATTCCTCTGAAGGAAGCAAAGGTGTTAGAGTTACCAGGCAACCAACACCAGTAAAAAATAATGTAAAAGGAGAGCAGGGAAGAGGGGCTCCAGTCAAGGACCTGCCTGGCCCATTAGGTACCTGAGACAGTGATGAAGTGTGTACACTAAGAATCTCATAGTAGGAGAGGATATCTGTTTTAGGTAGACAGAAGGTGCAGGGGAAAAACATATGTAACTAAATGGATGGAGCAGACATGAAAATTCTTCCCTGAAGAGAAACAGAACCCTTTTAACATTATGAGGCTGTTGAAGCAGAGAAAATGCTAAGGGGGTTTCATGAATGTTCTGCCACCAGTGCTGCTTGCAGGATTTTGTAGCTCTCTTCAATCTTGAAGCATTGAAATTGTTTCTTTCAGCTTCCTGATCTGGTCAGCCTTCCCATGTTTTCCATCCTCCCACTGGGAGGGATCAAAGCTTACTGAGAGGTGTCCTTCAAATGCTAAATCTGTAGTGCAGTTCAGAGATTGGGAATATTAGATTATTAGGCTTGTGCAATAAAGAGGGTGCATGGTGAGAAGATTGCTTTGCACTTCTCCCCCTCTCTGTCCTGGGCAAGCCTGGGCTGTCAGCAGACACTGTTTGCTCATTGGCAGTGAGTGGGGCCAGGGCTCTGCTCCAGGGCTCTGATCTGCCCTTCGGAAACCGGGAGGAAATAAAACATTGGTTGACTCCCAATCCAACAAACAAATACAGACAAGTAGAGCTGTATCAGATGGAGGCCATACTCCAAGGTTGTCTGACAGCTCGATTTGCCTCTTGCTGGACACTGGCCTGTGTCTGACCTGTGCAGCTCTTGGGACATGGGGCAGCTTCTGTTTCTCCTACCAGTCCCCTCTGGATTATCCAACACCTGCAGATTGTAGTTCCTGCATCCTTCTTTGTCATGGGCTTTTGTGCTGTTAATGCCAATGCAGCAGCAGAGTTGCTAAGGTCAGAGATGTCTGCAGAGACACAAAAGTCAGCATCTGGAGTTTCAGTGTGGTTTTAATACGTGATCATATGCAGGATGACATAGCTCGTGCTTCTTTGCTTGGAAGCTCATTTCCCCTCCTGCCTGCAGTTGTTAGCAGCCATGTGGCATCCTGACATTTCATCTTTATTAACTTCTTGACAGATAGCCTTTAGGGGTTTATTGGGAGATTAATTGTTTTCAGGAAGCTTTTAGACTGTTAGCAGGGTTTCATCTTTTCTTTCTCCATCCCTTCAAACAGGAGACTGTAATAAAGCAATAATGTAGTAGTTATAAATATATATAATATCTTAGATATTATATATAATATATATAAAAATTATATATATTAGTTATTATATAAATACTATATAATAAAGCAAAATAAAGTAATAAAAAACAATTAGATGTTTTAAAATTATCTGAGGATGCCAGGAGCATCACTCTTTTCAGTGTCTCCCAGCTTTTCTACTCTTTGCAGCCCAGAGCCAAGAGCAATGAGGGGGGATCCAGTTTCGAGAAGAGCACCAGCTGCAGCCATCATTGCAGCCACTTTAGTTAGATCTTCCCAGTGGCATTTTTCCAGGAGAAAAAAAGAACTTACAAGCCTGGCTATTTTTTTTTTAGTCAATGCATGTGATTAGCAGTATTTATAAAAAATGTGCAGAAAACAGCATCTCAGGAAAAGGAAAAGTACACGCAGATGCACTGAGCGAAAGGAGAAATTAACAGACTTTGAAGTCAGCAAAAGTGCCTGATTAAGGATTTAAAAACCAGAATTTTGGAATTTCGCTGTGCTATGGGTTTCTAAAGCACAATTCAATGATGGCTTTTGAGGCCTACTGGAAGCTGTTCTGTAATGCCATCTGAAGACACTGGTCTCATGATTGTTTTCTGGGTGGAAAGAAAGAAGCTTCACCAGCAAAAATGTTAAAACAGAATGTGGGGGATGAACTCATGGTAGCCCACTCAAACATTCCCTTTCCCTCCCTTCCAATTTTGTGATTTCAGCATTTGCCCATAAGTTCCTGTCACTGGTTTGTTTATTTTTGATGTCTTTCCTTACAGGATAAGGATTTAAAAGAATATTTTCCCATTCCTATTTACTATAAAAAAACAGTAGCAAATTGCTAATTTCATAACTAATTCAAGCCCAGCAATTTTTTATTAGCATAGGAATTTAAATTTCCCTTGTGCTTCACTGCAGAACTAGATTTACTAGAACACAGAATGGGACTTGGAGCTTCTTAGTACTAATCTGTGAGTTCAGATGCAGGTTGGCAGAATACAAAGTGCTGTGATGATCTTCTTCAGCAGCCTGTAATATGTTTTGGAAACTGCCCAGAGTATAATGATAAGGATACACACACAATACTTTTCACTTGATGGCATATAGCTAGATTATTGTTCAGTCCCTGCAGACTGCTAGAGATGTGCACAGAGATGGTTTTCCATGCCTCTTTAGATGTAGCCTTCTCAATTTAGCTGTGTTTATTTGAGACTATAAAGGGACTCCTTGGTAGTCTTCCTGCTGTACCCATAATGTGGTTTGGAGCACACAAGATTACCAATCCTGCATCCACTGGAGATAACGAACATTGTAAATTACGGACAGTCTCTTCTGTTATATATACATGTGTAGAGGGGGGCACAGTAGAATGAGATTCCTTATTAACTCTGACCAGAGAAATACACAGAATAATTCCACTGGGGGAGGGTGATGCTAAATAACATCCAAATACTGAGCCATGAAAAGGTGTCAGTTTTTATCCAAGTATTATATGAATTCTTAAGTACACAAATGGAATGAATATGTCTAAGTATTCATTGCTTACGGTGCCTTTCTTTGACATCAAAAGCAGTGTGCATAAATTCCTCATTTTACCTGATAGCTTTCATTAGCTCTCCATCTGTAATCCACACCTCCTGCTGAGAAGGACAGAACCGCAATGCTCATTAGGACTCTCCCTTTAGAGGAAGTCGAGTGAAAAAGCCCTAGCCTTTTATGCTATAGCAGAAGGTGAAAATGTTACCAGATGAACAGTTCTTTCCAGCAGTGCTTTGGCTAGTCTCACCATGTAATTGAAAATTTATTGTAAGCCATCAAACCCCATTATTTCCCATCCAGAAATCTTTACTTTTCATCCCCTCACTCATGCAAAGACATACTTGCTCTGGAGAGGTGCAGAGTCAGCAGGAAAGATGGACAATATGAATAATTAAAATAGAGGTTGAGTTCCCATTTGCTACTGAAGAGAAATGGTTTGCACAAAAATAGAATGAGACAGGGCGTCAGAGATTCTCCAGAAGGGTGGCTGTTATGTCGGTTGGCATTTTTGCCCTTCAGGAGGATTGTTCATGACAGGGATATTAAAGTATTTGGTTTAGAATGGCAACCTATCATAGTATTATTTGGAAATGCTCTGGTGAGGATAACACCAGAGAGATGTGTTTGGCAAAGGTTCAAACTGCTGACAAGTAGCAGCTACCTAGTGCATGGGGATATGCAGTGTACATGCATGTGAATTACCCCATGGAAAAGTATATTTCACAGAATATTATCTCGGTAATGAAAATGAGCACTCAGGAATCATAAAATTGAAAAATTAAGGTTAGATTCAATTTTTACCGTATTTGTGCATTAAAGACTACCAAGTGTTGTGTTTTCATAGCTTTCTTCTGAATTCAGTGCTACAATTGAAAAGTGCTCTTCTGTTCAGTAGTTTTTTTCCACTGTTCAATCTTTTTTACTTATTTTTTGCACAATAAGCAAATAGTTTTTGAAGAGAAGATCATTTTTCTCAGAATACTTACCACCCCAGCCTCATATTTTTCCAGACATTATTACCTTTATTTTCATGAACCACTCAGAGCTAAGGAGCATGTCATCACCCCCCTTTTAGAGATACAGCCTTGAGGTACTGAGAGGTACCTTGAGGTACAAAAATCTTATTTTGGGTGATTAAAGTGTGAGAGATTTCAGAGAACTTAACTTCTCAGTGTGCAGAGACTTACAGAACAGACAAAGCATGACCATTACTGTATTTGCAACAAAGGCTTAGCACATCTATACCCCACATGTTAGGTTGAAAAAAAGTTCATTAATGTAGTGTAATGACTATTATCACTGGCATGACTAAAGTCTAGGTTTCCAAAGCAGCATTATTCTGCCTGATCTTGTCACTTTCTGTAGCCTTCACTTGGTACCTTCACATCTTTCATCACCTGAAACACACAAAGCAAGAGTTCTGCAGGCAGCTCTCCTTCACAGAAAATAAGCCTAGAATATTTGCAAGTCAGATAGTGACTCTAACATATTGAATGAGACAGGAAACCTTGGGGGTGGAGAGGCAGGGGGAAGAATATGGGGGTTTGCAACATAACGTTTGTCTCCTAATGCATTGGTATGAAGGGACTGAATAAAGAGCAAATAAGCAGCATCAGCTCTGGTTTGGTCTAACTTTTTGATTGCTCTCATACAATAATAATATCCCTTTCCTGTACTTTATACACACTAAAGTACTTGTGTACTTTATTCACACAGATCTCTAGCAGAAGGGAAAGAAATTCCATCACTAATTACCATTATGTGCCATTAGCGAGCTGATAACCTCCAGACTCACTTAGACCCTGCTGCTGCCAGCAAAGGAAGGGCTGATCTCGGCAGCCTCTGCAAAGGCTCAGGCAAGAAGAGTGCCTGGAGCTACGCTAGCATGACACAAGGGTATTGGACACTGTGTACAGCAGATTAGTAGATTGTAGTTGTCAATCTAAATAAAAAGCTCATTAATCTTTAGTGCATGTATATTCTTCCACCCACCAAATGTTGTTCTTCACCCTATAAATGACCAATGGTATCCCTTAAGAGCCAAAATGCCAAGGACCAAACCTCAGGACAGGAACCATGCAGTATTCTGATAGTGTGATCTCAAACATCCCATATTCCCACATGGCAAACTAAATCAGAGATACCCCAGCCAGCTCAACCAGGATGACTGTGATGCTGAGCAGCAAACCTGCAGCCCGCATCTCTTTTACTTTGAAAGTGACCTGCAACTACCAGAGAGTCAAGATCAGGTGAAAACGACTGCTCTTCAAGCGGGTGCTTCCCTGTCCAGCAACTCGGCCTCGGGATCAGGAACCTTCTCCCACCACGCCCCCCTGTCCCGCCGGCGCCGCCTCCCCGCTTCAAAGCCGCTTCCTGCGCGTCGCCCCGCCCCGGCGCGGAAGTGCGCGGCGCGGCCATGGCGGCTGTGGACATCCGAGGTAGGCCCGGGCCGGGGGCGGGCGCTCGGGGCTCGCTCCCCGCGGCTCCGGGGGGCCCTGCCCGCCGCCCTGCGCCGAGCTCCGCCCGCGGGCGGGGAGCGCACTCCGCGAGGCACAGCGGGGTCCCTTCGTGGGGCAGAGCGCGGCGGGGCGACTTGAGGAAGGGGTCGGTGTGATGATGTGACGGTCCTTGGAAACTGTGCACAAGTAGCGTTGCTAATGCATCCGTGCGATGAGATGAAAAGCTGCCCAAAAAAACAGTTTTCTGGGATATGCAGCAGGCTAGGAGGGTGTGCTGAGGGCCACCTGGGCAAAACAAGCCTCCCTCTGGTAGGCTCTGCCTTTACAGGTGGGATAAGAAGGTCCTGGGGTGAGATGGTGACATAAGGGAATAGCTAAAAAAAGAGAGTTTCAGCTCTGAAGTGTGGAGGAAAGTAGGAAACGCGGGCATGTGTGTAGGACTTGCATGAGACCAGAGGAGGGAGTGAGGCTGGTAATCTTAAAAGCATTTCAGGTGGATGTTAGGAAGACCAGAAAGCAAGCTGAAGTAACAGAGAACAAGAAACATTTGCGTGAGAATTCAGGGTTATGAGGAAAAAGAGATAATGTTTTGATGAAGGGGTGATATTTGAATAAAGTATTAAAGGTTTATGTTGTAATCAAAATATAAGTTACATTACTGTGAAGAATTTGAACTTTGAGAGAGGAATTGGGGGTTGAGAAGGCAAGAGAAAGGAAATTATTTTTCTTCATAAGGGTGACTTAATGGAATCACATCAGAAGCCTGTGTGGTGGAGTCTCAGTGATCAAGAGCAGATATTTAGGGAAAGCTTGTGAAGAGTCAATTTTGATAATGCCACAGAGGTTTTCTCCTTTTTTCTTTAAATTCTTAATGATATATGTAGTCCTTGTGTGTTTTTCTGACTGCCTTATTCGAGATTACAGGAAGGAATTGTTTGGACATTTAATGGAGGAGCACTGTGTTAAGTTATTAGCTGGTGCGAGGATCTTTTGTCTTAATCCAGATAATTTACGCCCCCTCAGAGTCTTTTATCTGACATGATTTAATATATTAAGTAGATTTTGAGCCATACTTCTGTTTTTAAGCTGTCTGCTGTGGGTTAACCCTCGCTGGATGGCAGGTGCCCACCAAAGGCACTCTATCACTCTCGTCCTCAAAGGACAGAGGAGAGAAAATAAAATGAAAGGCTTGTGGGTCGAGAGCAGGACAGGGAGAGATCACTCACCTGTCATGAGTTACTGTCATGGGCATAACTGACTCAGTGTGGGAAAATTAATTGATCAGATTAATTAAATCAAATCAGAGGAGGATAATGAGAAATAAAACAAAATCTTCCCTCTACCCTCCCTTCTTCCTGGGCTTAACTTTACTCTCAAATTCTCTACCTCCTCTCCCCTGAGCAGCAAAGGGGATGGGAAATGGGGTTGTGATCAGTTCAGACATGCTGTCACTGCTGCTCCATCCTCCTCAGTGGGAGGACTCCTCACACTCTTCCCCTGTTCCATTGTGGTGTCCCTCCTATGGAGGACTGTCCTCCATGAACTTCTCCACTGTTGTTGTCACGAAACGGGTTCTTTCACCCATTGTGCAAGAAGCCCATCCAGACACAGAGTTGAGGCATTTGATTTGTTGCTCTTAAAACCTGTACGAGCCTATACTCCTTAGAACGAGGCTTCTTTATTGGTGTTAAATTCAGATTGACAGTCTCTAAGCAGCCTTCAATAGTGCATGCAGGGTGACATTTTCAGGTTCCTCTCAAGTCTGGTTCATGGTAAACAGATGTGAGCTTTCCATGCCTTTTCCTGTGAGATGTATAGCTGTACAGAGTTCTCCAAAAAAGTTAATGTCCATTTAGCTCAACAACAATGGAAGAGGACATTCTAGGTATAGAAACTTGTGAGTCAGTTTAGTCCAACTGGACACTCCATGAGCGTCAAGAATGGCAGTAAAGCTCTTTTTCCCATTGCTCCAATAATCAGTATCATAACTTTACTTAGCAGGCCCTTACAGCTAGTTATTACTGATTATATGGCTCTGCTGTCAATCAGAAATCTATTGTTTCATTCCCTGCTTGTACTGGAACTAGGAGACCTGCTGGGGATGCCCTGGTATTTTTCCCCATCCCCTTCCCTCATTGTCAAAAATTCTCTAGCATCATAACATTTACATCCTCTGGTTGACCCTTCCTGCCTACAAAGAGCGCATTGCTTCAGGCCAAAGGTGGGAGCTCTTTCAGAGCCCAACCCCCCTGCCTGTTGCTTTCCTTTCACTGTCTGTAATACAGTTCTCTTTTCTTTCACAACTGAAAGGTATTCCATATAGCCTTCATAACTCCCCAGTTAGGGTTATCAGTCAGCGCGACAGTTTACAAAAGGTGGTACATTCCAGTAAAACAGATTTAAGCCTAGCCACTTTGGTTATATATTTGAAAAATGAATGGGGTCAGGTAAGGCTGAAGCTGATAATAATATTCCCTGAATTCAAGAAGAAGGGTTAGGAATTAAAGTAGGATGCTGGATGATCAATGGATCTACCTATAAAAAGGCGTCCCAGTTTTCCGTGCATCATACATCAAAACCAGCGGTGAAAAATCCAAAATGTTGCACCTCTGAAAAATGGAATTGTTGGTATAATTTTACCTTATGCCTTTGGGCCCACCATAATGTGGGCATAGCATTTAAATTCAAAGTAGATATTGCTGACACTAAAACAATTGTATTTTTGGCAATCAGAGAGGCTGAGAAAATTTTATCTCCACAAATTTTTGGAATTGGACCATGTGTGATCTAAAATACAAGTCAGCAATGAATTTTGTTTAATCCATTTTGGTCTCTTAAGTTGGTGGAATTAATAATGGAGATTAATATTCTGCACTTAAACCAACCTGTTTACAGTTTTTAAGTACTTCCTATGCAGGATGAGTAGCTTGGTTACACGAGTGATCCTTCACTTTTCCAAAATGACCAAGACCTTTGCAGCCCCCAGGGCTGGGTCAGGATGGACATCGCCCCCCAAGGGACTGAAGCAACTGTCCGTTGTCACAGAGAGCATGGCCTCTGACCTGCCCTGTCCTCTGGGCCAGCTTTGGGAGGTGGACAGGATCTGGCAGCTCTGCAGGGCCTGGCAACTCATGGGGCTGCTTGGCATGGCTTGTATTGCACTTGGCATTGGGAGAAATGTGAACAAGACGCTCCAGTGTGGGTCCTCCATAGGGTCACAAGTCCTGCCAGCAAACCTGCTCCAGTGATGGCTTCCCATGAGGTTGCAGCCTCTTTTGGGCATCTGCCTGCTCTGGTGTGGGATCCTCTAGGGGCTGCGGGTGGATCTCTGCTCCACTGTGGTTCTCCATGGGCTCCATGGGAACAGCCTGCTTCACCATTGTCTGCACCATGGGCTGCAGGGGAATCTCTGTTCTGGTACCTGGAGCATCTCCTGCTCATCTTTCTTCACTGACTGCAGAGTTGTTACTCTCTCCTTTCTCCAGCTGAAATGGCTGTTGTGCAACTTTTTTCCCTTTTCTTAAATACATTATTGCAGAGGTGGAACTGACATTGCTGATGGGCTTGGCCTTGACCAGTGACAGGTCTGTCTTTGAGCCAACTGGCATTGACTCTGTGGGACATAGGAGAAGCTTCTGGCAGCTTCTCACAGAAACCACCCCTGTAGCAGCCCCACTACACTAAAACCTGGTCATGCAAACCCAATACCCTATCAGGCTATTTTACTGTTCTCTTGGTTTGTCAAAGCCTAGTGTTGGGCTATCCAGCCATCAAGGCCAGGAACAAGCCATTGTGTGAATTACTCTTCTTTTTTGCTGTGGTTTGCTGGCTTGTCTCCCAAATTGTCTTGAAATTCATGACAGATTGGCAATATTGTCACAAGCACTTTACTTTTGCATCTGTGATGCAAATTCCGCAAGAAATGCTTTGAACAAGATGTCCTATTTTTGAAAGGAACGGGGAAGCAGGAACACCATCCTTTCTTTCTCATACCCAAAATAAACAGTACTCCTTTCAGTATAACAGGCATGTCAAGTTCGAGGTTGGTTTTATTCTTCCTCTGTTTTTCCAAGAATAGTTTAAGAGAACAATCTTGCTAGTTATAAAGGCAGTTGTAAATACTGGCACTAAGCATCTATGGATAATTGAGCCTTAGAGTCCAACTCTATATTCCATTTTATGATACATGTATCAGTCTGTATACAGCATTATAGCTATATATAGAGAGAGATCTAAAGCTTGCCTGACTTTCCGCAGAGAAATGCAGTTATTATTAGCATACAAACAAGAAAAGTTTGTATTTGAAATATAATGTGAGAATTTATTATGACAATAATGCAAGCAGCTCGTATTTTGTGTGTTTTTTTGAAAGGAAAGCTTTTTTGGTTTTGAAAGGCATTTGGAAGAATTAGCGTTACCATGACTTAAGTGCTTAATAATGGATCTTAGTGCTGTGTTACTGAGATTTCCATCTTTATAGTGAGGAGAGAGAATAGTGTGTGTGAAATAACATGAATGCCTCTAGACCTCCCTCTTCCCACCCAAAAAGAGTTAGGCTGGCAATTCCGAGATTAACAAGGTTTATGTGTAGCTATTTACGCTGCATTTGTCCTGATTAACTGAGCAGGTAGTGTTAGTTAATTAACTGTTCCTCAGAGAAACTGCTAATAGTGTATTAACTGACATTTTTGGGACTGATCCTTGAGCATGCTGAGTTGTCACAGAATTGCACAGAAGTAAAATATTCTTAGTGGAATGATAAGTGGGAGTTCTGTGTAAGTATATAATGTGTGAACTTTAGGGAGTGGTTTCTGTGCAGAGGGAATTTCAGTTCTTCAGTCAGTCTTCAGTGACTTCTCATCACTTACATTTTTTTAAATCTAAACAATGCATGTCTTTTCCTGCTTTCATGTGTCTTGGAAGTTCTATTTGCTGCTTCTGCGATTTAAAATGGATGAGTTTGAATGTGTTTTTTAAGGTGCCTCCTGGATCTCCAATGTTAGCAGATTTGTTGACAGTGAAACTGATTGTTACGCTGGGGTTTTTTTGGTCTGCTTGAGGAATATGATTTTGCTGCAGTGTGATAATAAAATCCAGGGACATTAATGCAAATTTCCCTAAATCTATAGGAATTTAGCTGGCATGTAATGGCTTGTAGGTTATTGAATATGTTTCATTTAAAAAGCTTGCTTTTTATTGTTAATTGTTAATGTTCTGTATTTTTATTTCTGTAATGTCCACTGACTTGTGGAATAAATAATTTTCTGCAGGCAAATTGGCAGATTAATTATATAGCCAGGAATAGAATCTCTTGTTCGAGACTATTGGGAAACATCTGCCCAAAGATAGCATCTTTGTATCTGCTGTTGGTTTTGGGGGTCAGTTTTCTTTTTTTGTGTAATAACAATCTCTGAAACATCATGTTGATATATATTTTAGTAACAGAACATATGAGAAATATTACTAGTAGCACTATTTTGTTTCACTCAGTAGTTTACAGGTTGGCTTTAGCAATAGAAAACTCTTGGTTTAATCTGTAGAGTTCTACCTGTTTTTCAGTATCATAGTTTACAGCTTGGAAACTATTTTTGTAATAAATAAATGGTTTTAAACATGATCAGGTTCATATTTAGTGTGGACTGTATCGTTTCCACTCCACTTTCACCTCCATAACTGATTCTAACTTAGTTTAGTAAATTCAACTTACTTACCAGACTTAGCTTTCAAAAGGAACTATGCTTTGTATTGACTTTCTACTCAGCTAATGCTGTGTTCAGAAAGTAAACTTGTATATAATACTGCTGAGTAGGTGTAGTATGATAGTATTATATGCAGTGTCAGAGCCAATTAAGTCCCAGCAGCACAGAGCACATACATGTGCACCCAGACCCTGCTCACATTCTTGAGACACAAAGGTATATCAGCAGCTAGTGGTCAAGGAAAGAAAAGTGCAGTTATAAAAAGAGACTGTTTCTTTTGTGTACCTCCAAGAGAACTGCAGCAGGTTAAAGGTTATCAATTATTATTTGAACTCTGTGAAATACTTTTAATTATAACTGGTTTGTGTGAGGCTGCATTCCATCTCCTTTCTCTGCTATAATCATTAATTGGTGGCAATTTACTCTTGGATGTATTTGCATGTTTCTGACTGCTTTGGTACTCAGTGTAGATTTATCTTCCCAGACAACCTCTTAGGAATTTCCTGGGTTGACAGCTCCTGGATTCCAATATTAAACAATGGGAGTGTGTTGGACTATTTCTCAGAGAGAAGTAACCCATTCTATGACCGAACATGTAACAATGAAGTCGTCAAAATGCAGCGGATGACCTTGGACCATTTGAAGTAAGTTGTAATTTGCAACTGCTTCCTGTGCAGTGTCCCTTGTCCCTCTATCCAAAGACTTTGATGGTTGAATGGAAGGATGCTGGAAACCTCCTTCTGTTCTGTGCTTTTTAGTCCCACCACTAGTCAGGGAATCCAGCTATTTTTGTATTTAGATGTCTTCTACTTTCTCTTGTGCTATTTCAAGGAGGTGTTAAGCATGAAGTATTCTGTGTATCTTCTGAGATTCCAGTAAATCACCTTTTAGATATTTCTCTGAAATAGAAAAGCTGCCTTCTCTCATCCTTACAGCTCAACAGAACCTGAGTAATGGTAATGTAGTTAAATGTTTTTCTGTGGTGAATAGGGTTTATGTTAGGGGATACTTTGAGTTCATAAATAGTTTGTGTTTCCATATCCTGCTGGCTATGTGCCATAATCAGTACATAATTCCTCCGAATAGCTGGCTTTTTAGTATGGATAATAAGAGTAGTGAGTGTTGTAAATAAACTGATCACATCTGGTTGTGTAATGAGATTGCAGGATGTGCAAGTTAACTTTCTTTGCAGTTCCCCATCTGTTACGCTGAGCACAAGATTGAGAACTATTTAAAGACTCCACAATACGATAGGGAGTGTGCAAGCAGAGCTAAAAGTTCATTGGTAAAGTCACTTGTGCTTGGTTGTGGTTGCAGAGAGGCTTTTACACCAGCCATGCAGATGGTCGCATCATACACGGATTCTTAGTTGCTGTGTTTTAATGAAATCTCGATGATGATAGATTGTTATCTTTCTTGCCATTTATTTGTTGCTAATATGCTCCACTTAGATGTTGTGTCAGGTTTTTATAACTCTTTTTGTATATGCACCTAGGGCTTGATAGCTAACTCAGGAAATCTTATGCCTTTATTTACTGCACATTATATAGAAGAGCTTCCAAAGCATCAGAACTTCATCAGTTTACTGCTGGGCCCCTTGGTTGCTCTTCACATCCTACAGATTTTACTTTGAGGAAGATACTTATTCTGGTTGCATCTTTTTCAGCCAGATGGTTGGAGTGGAGTACATCCTTCTCCACGCTCAAGAGCCCATTCTCTTCATTATCCGAAAGCAGCAAAGGCAGTCTCCAACACAAGGTATGGTCACTCAGTTCTTCCCACTGTTGAGAAGTCTCATATGTTAGTTGTTTTTATCAGTTCCTAATTTGCGTCTAAGCACTTCTGTTTCCCCTTTTCTGTCTTTACCTTAAATCTTAACTGGAGGCTTTGTGATGGGGCAGGGGTACTTCTCCAGCAGTGACCTGCAGAGTGCCAGCAGCAGGGACTGCCATCTTGTGGTGAAATGGGAAGAGCAAATGAGAAAGTGTTGCCCCGTGGTACATTTTGCCACGGGAGATTGGTAATAGCATTCATTCCATGTCACATTTATTTGTTAGGCTATGCAAGAGTGTTGATTTCTTATCGTGATGGAATCTTGTGACAACAGCACCACTCCTTACAGGGTCACTGATGACCTTTTCAAGATTTTAATCCAATACCTTAGCTTTTTTTTCCCCGTCTGCATGCAACTGGCATAATTATTCCTTTTTAACCTTGAATTTGTCTGTGTTTGTGTGATTAATCAGATAAGTAGTCACATTTCAGTAGTTATTGGACTATCTTCTCTGTTTACTGCATGCTTATATAAAATAATTTAGGTTATTTCAGAGTAAGCTTTATAGAAAAGAAAGGCAAGGTTAGTGCTAGTTATTTTTTAATTTCTTTTTTTAGGGATTTAGGCTCTGCATATGCATTTTGGTCTTGTACGGGACTTTGCCTTGTCTTGCAATGCTGCTTATTTGCTTATATTAGGTAATGACCCCTTTATATTGCAGTTCCATGTTGAAAAAGAACATACATGATTGATTCTTTGGTAGATTTGAGTTATTTCCTTATTAAAGGTTTTGAATCCAGCTTCCAGAAGGTGAGTATGGAAATATCATGCAGCCCTTAATTTCTGGTTTTGACACCTTTTAGATCAAGATTGGATTTCCACAATATGTGTGTTCAGACTTATGCTGTAAGGCAAATGTATGTTTGGTGGAACTTAGCTGGGACTTGTTTGGTAACATCTTTTTCTCACTGTGACTGTACAGTTTGTGCTGGGTACCTTGATTGAGTCTCGTAGTTCCCTAGCTCAGATGTTACCCATGTGTTTCATTTTGTAATGGTACAAATATTAGTGTATTTAAGGCATGGGAATGGGGAGGGAAAACTAAAATTTAATGAGTTTACAGCTAGTGTAGGGTACTCAAATACAACTGGTGCAGACCTGTCTTATGACTTCTGTGTGTTTTTAAAAAAAGATGTATTTATATTTTAAAGTCTTTAAGACAAGTTTTTGCCTATTTGAAGTGATTTTAGAAAAATCTTCAGATCCAATAATTAGGGAGAGTAACCTGTCTAAGAAAGTAGGCTGCTCTGGTACAGAGCTCTGAGACAGTAAAGCTGCTGTTCTGTATCTTGCTCCACTTGTAAGAAAGTGCTGAGAATCTTTTTTTCTTTTGAAGATAAGTGGGTACTGGCTGTTCTATGCACCCAGCTGTCTTGGACTGTTATTTAGGCAGGTGTCCAAGCTTCATAAAATGCAAGTACTGGATGAATTGTTAATACAGATGGAGGAACTGCAACAAAGATGTGCACAGGTAAAGTCCTTAGGAATGCAAAGCTGACAGCATCGTTATTGTTGCTCAATTGAAGAATGTTTGGCAGATTTTTACAGAGGCAATTGTGATGTTTTTCTGCACTGCAGCTCTAATGAACAAGAATTTTGGATTGGTCAGTAGAGGTTCCAAATCTGATTTAGCAAATGCCTTTGGAAGGTAGTCTTTTTTTGGCAAAATATTATTAATTTAGAAAGGCATGCTCTGTGTGTGCTTAACACCATTTGGTCTGGGAAGTCTAGCTGAGAGGATTGTACGAGTTGGAGAAAGCTGAGTCCAGACGAATGAGATCTTACAGTGTTGTGGGTTTATACTGGTAGCCAAGGCAAGTAGAATTACTTCCAGTGCAGTTCACTTGACTCTACTGGTGTGGCTCTGAAAACCCCAACTCTTGTGAGGCCAGTCATTTGTTTGAAGTCTTAAAGCTGATTCTTTTCTATTTGTAAAACAGACTTCGGGTTTTTTTTTTCTTCTTATCAGTCTATGGCTAAGCTGCAAATAAAGCACCTTGAAGGAAAAGCTTAAGAAGAGAAAATTTTGTGATAAGATAAATATTGCAGTTTCTGCTATTACTACTGAAATTCAGCAATAAATACCCAGTCTTAAGCCAGAGCTTTAAATCGGTCCTGCCCTCTTTTTTCCTCTCCACAGTTATTCCATTGGCCGACTACTATATTATTGCTGGAGTGATTTATCAAGCACCTGACTTAGGGTCTGTCATTAACTCCAGAGTTGTAAGTGTTCTGTGCATTTGATGTGTACTGGTTTGTGTTTGTTTTTACTTTTGGTTTTTCTCCAGACTGTTTAAATCTTTCCTTCACTTTTTTGAGGAAAGATCATGTGTAGTAACAGTGCAATAACTTAAAACAAACTCCACTGGTTAATATTGTGTGCATCCCACATGAAAATAAAAGATCCTGTGACAGTGCAGTATTGCCCAAAAAGTGAGATATGTTGCTTAAGGATGAAAAATCAGAATAACTGAGGCTACACAATTGCTAAAACAGCATCAGGTTTGAATAATCAAAAGAAAAATTATTTGACAAATACATATGAAATAGTAACTAAATACATATTCAGTGAAGCTTGCTTTGAAATGTGAATGTTAATGTTAAGCTAATGTAATATATATATTTTTAAATGAGGCTTACATTTTTAAGCTGATGTGATGGTACTTCTTTTTAAATTGCATGCTTGGGTTTGTTTTGATTCCTTCTGTCTTGTAAACTACTACTTTTGCAAGTTTTTCTCTGCCAGTTTAGAAGAGCATTTCAGAAAATGCCTTGTGAGCACCTGTTAAATTATATTCTTGGTCTAAATCTAGATGTCCCAAGTTCCCTTCCCAGAATAAAAATGAATATAGAACACTAATTTTAAAAACTCTGCTTTCAAAAATTTATATTGTATTTTCTTCTTGAATTCTAACACTGCCATATGTTCCTGTCCTGAAAGCTCACTGCAGTGCACGGAATTCAGTCTGCTTTTGAAGAAGCTATGTCTTACTGTCGTTATCACCCGTCCAAGGGCTACTGGTGGCATTTTAAAGATCAAGAAGAAAGAGGTATGATTCCTAGTTGCTTCTGCATACTTTGGAAGAGGAAAGGTAATGTAAGGAAAAGCTTGAGGCAATGCATAGTGATGGTGTAGAGGTGAGGCAAAGTGACTAAAGGGTAAGTGAGAGCTCCCTATGTGAGGAAACGAATCTTGTTCTTCTGTGCTGGTGGGGATGAACATCAGGCATAGGGGGGACATGAAAATGGTGAGCTGAGTGTCAACAAAGTGAGCGACTGTTCAACCCACTGGAGGCCAGTGTACATTTTCATAAGTCAAACAAGTTTGTCAATTGGTAAGGTTAGAGGAGAGTCAAATACCAACTTGTCGTACAACAAAGAGCTGCTAAAAGAATTTTTAATACCTCTTTCTCTAATGTTTCTGTGACTTGCAGAGAAAGCTAAACCAAAAGCCAAGAAGAAAGAAGAACCAAGTTCCATTTTCCAAAGGCAACGGGTAGATGCTTTGCTTTTAGACCTAAGACAGAAGTTTCCACCCAGATTTGTTCAGGTATGACAATTAAAAGCCACAATATTACTGTAACTTACTTAGAAATTAAAAGACAGTCATAAGTACTTGAATTGTTGAAACTGAATAGGAATTTTGTGTATTTCTGCAATGGTAACATGGATTAGATAATAAATTTAAAATGGAAGGCTCTAATTGAAGTGCAGGATTCCCCTTTGTAATTGCAGGAGTCATTAAGACTTAGGCGAAACTATGAGGGTGAATTTTATTATACAAACTCCTTATCTAATAACAGAGGGTCTCAGCTATCAGGTTTTGCTGCTGCTTCCATTTTCGTTCTTTGTGAGCTCAATCAAGTCACCACAATATTTTGTTTTAGTTGCTCCATTGTTCTGAAGACTCATTAATTAGTGTGGAATTCTTGGCATTCTGTGAAGTTGTTGTGATTACCTCTGATTGTCTTTGGTAGCCATTTGTTCTACCAGGTGGTCTGCTTGGGAGCAAAGGAAATTATGTTTACAGCATCTCACAAAATCATTTGCTCCTCAGGTGTGGTAAAGACCAGCTAACTACATATTTTTGCTTTAGTGTTCTTCAGTTGTAAGAGGAAAAACTTGGCATTATGAAATGTTAATTGGATTTTGTTTGAAGTGTATTTAGTGATCCATTCTGCTCTCAGTTCATATGTGTAAGAGTGTATTGCCTGGATTTTATTCCAAAATGAATAGTTGGAAGGGTTAAAAATTATGATTTTGGTTCCCTTGATGTGTTGTTTTATTTTTTTTTTCTTCTCCTACAGCAAAAGCCCGGAGAAAAGCCTATCCCAGGTAAAACTCTAATATTTTCACAAGACATAAAAAATAACCTCTCTATATGGCAGTATTTTCCAGTTGCCATGTAAGCTCCTTGCTGCTGCTACTGAGGTAGTTTGGAATTCTGACATTGCCTAATTGTGCAAAATACTGGATAAGAGTTCTCTATGAGAGCCAGAATGAAAATGAAAAAAATGTGTATTCTATTCCTACCCTCGCTGTAAAACTGGATTACCTGAAGGTCCAAATGCAGGCAGTGGTCTTTGAAAGTAGGAGGAGGGTGAAAGGGTGAATGAGGAAACAGTTTAGTCAATCCAGCATCTTAGTAATTTTGCATGGTACTAGAAGCTCTAGAGAGCCTCTGAAGACGTTGAGTTGATCACAAGCAACCTCAAAACAGGAAATGGATGAACTCTCTTCAATCTATTCCACTTTTTCACACATAAGTATGAATTTACTCCCTGCTTATTCTTACACCTTTGAAATTAGTTTTGCCCCTTTGACAGCAACAATATTTTCTATGTACTCTAAACAATATTTTAGCAATAAAAATCAGAGGTTTGACTTTCTTTTGCTGTTACATCTTTAGTGGATCAAATCAAGAAGGAACCAGAACCAGCCCCTGAAACTGTCAAGCCAGAGGAAAAAGACACTGCAAAGAATGCTCAGCAGAGTGCTGCTGCTAAAGGACCACCTGAAAAACGAATGAGACTCCAGTGAAGGGAGAAGTTGTTGTACTTCTTGTTTCGTCATTACCTGAAAAACAGGAGATTCTTGCTCCCCTTTCTTTATATTTAAGCTCTTCCACTGAGGCTGACAATTCAGGAACTGAAGTCCCTGTAAGAGCTTTTTTCTGTAGAAACCTCTCATGCAGATGTTAATGTCAGAATGTGAGCTGCCTCAAAGAGGGTGTTTTCAGTCTTCATGTTTTTTTGAATATTGGCTTCTGAGCATGGTTTTTACATGGACATATTTAGCAGCCTCCTGAAAACTTTACAAACTCTTGCATCTTTTGTGCCTAAGTTTCTTATGTAAAAAGAAAACTTTTATATATATATATAAAAAATCAGAACTCTTGGCAAATAAAACTTCTGGCTGCTGGAATGCCTTTCCTAGATGCATACTTTGTTAACAGCAAATACACCATATGTGCTGGCAGCATTTTTTTTGCTTGGCTACTGGAATATATTTTGAGGAGGAAAAGTTCAGCTAAAGGATTTAGGCTGCCTGCTATAAATTGCTGTGCCTTTAGTATGCTTGGGATAAAGATAAAAGATTTGATAACTGGAGCCTCAAATCCGTGTAATTAGATGTCAGACTGCACTCGATCTCTAAATGTTCTTGGGCACTCATTTTACTTACAGGCTAAACTGATACTTTATTAAAAAGCTACTGTTCTGTGAGAGAGATTCGTAACAAAACAGGATAAAATTTCTTGCTATGGCACACTCAGTGAAGCTTTTTATATTTCTAATTTTTCACTGTAACTCAAATATATCAATTACATCTCTTCCTCTGTGCTCCTAGCACTTCCTTGCTCCTTGATTAGACATCATCCTTTTAGAACCTGAGGAGGTAGGGCAGTGGAAGAGAAACACCACTGACAGCTATATGCTTATTGAAGCATATTTATTGCACAAACCTTTTTTTTTTTTTAATTGAAATAATGGAGCAATCCTCAAAATAGCTTGCTTGCTTTCCGCAACTGTTACCTTCTTTCCTGTAGTAAACTGTAGTAAGCAAAAAAAAGGTTTGTACATAGGAACCAAAATGTAGATAGGAAGGAAGACTAAGATATGCTTAGATGGCTGTGCCAAATTTATTTTCAGGTTACAAGATACTCTTTTCCTGTTTCAGTAACTTAGCTACCCAGTCAGAGCTGTTTATTACTGAATGATAGAATGACCTGTCAGAACTATTTATTATTGAATGATAGAAAGACCCATGTCATTTTTGTCCTGTAATCCAAAGCTGTAATGTTAAAGATGTAGATAAACCAATAGCTGTTCTCTGCTGAAGCAGATACAGATCTGAAATTCATATATTGGTGTACTTAAGTGTGTATTAGGTTTGTTTCATACCTGGGTCAGGTTTGAACAGCTATTTCTCCAAATGTTGATGGAAGTAGATAATAAGCTAGTGTGAACTATTAGGTCAAGTGAAAATATAGAAAGCAGTTATTCTGGGATGCCTGAAACAAGACAGAGCTAATTATTCAACATTGAATCATGACAAGGTGGTGTGAATATCCTTAGACCAAAAGGGTGTTGGTTCCTTCTTTTATTAAAGAAATTCCTCTGAAAGCAAGTAGCTGAAGAAGCACCAAAGGCATCATCTCATCTACCCCAATGATGGAAAGGAGGGATCTCCAGAAATAAGACCTGAATGGTGAGGAACCTCAGGAGTCCAGAAATGAGACATGAATGGTAAGGAACCTCAGGAGTCCTTGCTGTTGATGTTCAGAATGAAGTCCTTGGAAATGTCCATTTGAGGAGCTGAGGAACCTGTATGTAATTTGGAAAAACTTAAGCAAGAAAGATAACTAGGCTGTATTGTAATGAAGATCTAGGATGTTAGGCTTTAGTTGTGGGGGGGGGGGTTGGTTCTTTTTATTGTTGTTGTTGTTTGTTTGTTTGTTTTAATGGAAAAAAATTATCTATTTGTATACCAAGGAAATATTTACCACTTCTAGCAGAAGAAAGGTATCTTTCTGAAGAGATGTACAGCTGTGGTAAAAAATGGATGGTAGAGCATAGTATGAGCAAAGTATTCTATCAGTCACTGGACTTTACCTGAAATAAAGTGTATTGTACAGCTCAATGTCTGAAAAAGAATTCCTCTAAAGTAGGGGGGTTTGAAGAAGGGCAATAAAATGAGTAGGAGAAAGTTTCTCCTATGATGGCACTGGGAGGACCAAGACTTCGGTTCCTTTGGAAAGAAAAGACAAATACCGAGTGTTTGTAAAACTGAGTAGTGAAGCAAGTAGGAAAGTAGAGAACTCTTGTTCCGTCTTGTAGTACAAGAATAGAGAGACAAGTTAGCGAAGCTGAATTGGAGTTACATTTAGACTGAATCATATTCCATGCTCAGAATTTGAGCCAATTCAGAGATAAGGGCGGAGCCTGAAGGGGCAGACTGTCCTCATCTCTGCATCTCTTAGCAGCCTTTTTGCTTTCTGCAGAAATATCTTGTATTGGCTGGTGTCAAAGGGCATTACGAAGAATGGACTTCTGGTCTAATCCCATCTGAGGTAAAGTGCTAGCATTTAAGTTATTGAGAGGACAGAAAATGGCTTCCATTCATGAAACAATGCATTTGAATGTGATAAGCCTCTTCTAGGGGAATGATCTTATTCTGAGAGAATTACATTATAAAGCAGTAAGAGATGTTACCAATGAGTGTGCCCATTTCTTAGCAGCTGTCCAGTGCTGAACATTTGCCATACAAGGGACTGAAATACCTTCTTATCCTGTTACTTGCTGACCAGATATTCTAAAATAATTTAATCAGTTAAGTGAACTGTGATATTAACTTACTGAAATGACATTATGTCAGATATTACTGTTAAACTCCAGGTAATTTACTGTCAAAAAGAAGTTAAGCAGCTATCTTGTAGTCAGTAATGTTTTTCAGTGCGTAAGAATCTAAGCCTTTTCTCTTTGGTATTTATAGGCTCTCTCTTGGTTTAGAGCCTGACTGCTGAGGTCCAAAGTCCTTCCAAAGACCTTCAGTATTTGTAAAGCTTATAGGTAAAAGGGAGATAAGCCAGCAGTTCTGAAATTTGCCCATGCTCCTTTTGCATAAAGGAGAGATTTGGTTGTACTGTCTCTACTTTTTGCTCTTAGATAATAACCATTCAGACTTCAAAAGGGCTTTTCTAAGTCACAGGGTAGCAGGAGCTAAAAATTACCTAGAACTCTAATAGAAACAATTCTTCTCATAGTCTGAAAGTACATATAAATGTGTGCATACCCATGAATGGTTATGCATGTATTGTATCTATGTGTGTATGTATATACATACATGTAGAAATCCACCCAGACTTGTAGGAAGAGGGTTAGTCTAGCTACCTCAATTTACTGTATAAAGCTAATGGTGTCTCAGGTGCAGCAGACATACTGTCATTTTCAACTTTTCACTAAGTAAGGTCTGACCAGCCTATGTGTTACTCTTGCCCATTTCTCTTTGCCACTCTGCCCCTATACTTCATATTTTAGTAGCCTTTTCCCAGCAAAAAAAGTTAGATGATATCTGGACAGTCAGTATGTGTTGTTTGCCAAAGCAAGCTGTACTTGGAGCAAGGCTAGGAGGGTATAGGCAATAGGAGGGACAAGCCAAAGGGGATAGAATAGCTTTGAGACGTGGAGGTTCCCTTTGAGGAAAATGGTGAAGATATATTATGCAGATAGACTGTGGTTTCACTGAAACAACAGATGGTTTCTGAACAAAAGCTGATGTGATATACTTTTTCAGGGTTGTTTTCATTATTTTTTTCAATAGCAAAGCAAATGATAACTAGGCATTTGAGGTTCAAGACAATTTTTCTTTTTTTTTCTTGTAGAGGAAGGTGAATTATTGATCCTGTAATCATGCACAGAACAAACAAATGGTCACTTATGTGACAAGTGTCCTTCCATAGCCTCACGTGGATCATAGATGGATGGGTGGTGAGGAGAAATTTTCCCAGTGGGATGAGTTACGATGTATTAGTGATTTCTCAGCAATCAGAAGGTTAAATTTCTTTCTAGCAGGACAGTGGATTTTAATCTGTGGTCCACAAGGCTCCTGGGGTTTTGTGACCTGTTCCTAAAGACTCAACAGAAGTGAGAAAAGTAAATTTCTCACTGGTAGGATTCAATTCCATAGGAGCTTGCACCTTCATTGGAAATTTTAGGGGGCTACAAGACTGAAAAAATTTGAAAAACACTCATGAGAAAGCCAATTACAGCTGCCAAAGAAATGTTTCTGCAGTTGAAGTAGCAAAGACTGCTGTGATATTTTTTCCCTGCTCTTCCGTAAGGCCAGTCATTTTTCTTCCCAACCTGTTCATTGTCATGCAACGGGAATCTTTCCCTCCCTGCCCTTTGATCTTTACCTGGTCCATACAGAAATGCAAGGGTCTGGTAAGCTGAACATAACAGTGTGATCACTATATAAAAATTACATAACCTCAGTGCTGAAGGGCTTGCTTAGGTGCTGAATGCAGTGTCACAAAGTTACATTGACAGTACCCCACAAGAATAATCTGCCATGAGTTCAACAGTGGAACTAGAGTATTTTCTAGTCCTAACTGTATATTAAAAGAGAAAGAAAGTAGTGGATAACTTCAGATCGGGGGGTCGTACAGGTGGCAAGGGATGTCTTTAGCAAATTGGCAGAGTGATTTAGTACAGCCTTTACTATAACTTAAGGAGTGATCACACAGGAGAAGTATGTATTTAAAAATAGCACTACAGACATTGCATACAGATTATATAACAGGATTTTTCTGTTATTGTAGTTTGAGTTAAATATATTTCAAAAGACATAATCTGATATAGTTCGCAGCCCTGGAATCCAAAACTAATAATTGAAAAATAGTGGATCATTTTTCAGCAACTAGCTGCACATAAAGACTTCACAAAAAAACCCTGTTCCTATAATTTTAAAACTAATAAGAAAATAAATCTAAGGTTAACACACATCATGGATTTGGATGTATATCTAGAAAGATCCTTCTAGATGGATCCTAATAGAAGCAGGCATCCTGTTTTCTTTAATCTGAGGTACTGTATTACAAAGTATATGCTACTAATGCTGGCCACACTTGCAAGGAGTGAGCAAGGTGCCAATTCACAGAATCTGAAGTTCCTTTGGACAGCTGTTGGTAACCTCCACAGCTATTGGTTAGGCCTGCCAGGTGCCCAGCTTAGAGTACCATCCCACTCAGGACCCTGGGGCATGAGGCAGTAGAAGGGGGGTCTGAACATTTTGCTAGCTGCTTCTTTCATTGCTCAGCCTCCTGAGGGGCAGTGCCTGTCTCAGATAGTTTGAAATGTTAAATGTCGCTGCCTGTCGCAGTGATGGTCAGCACATAGAAACTGGTGCTGAAAAGCAGGATTCCTGAGGTGGATATGGGGTGGTGGAAGGGTGCACCTCCCGCAGCTGAGGAAGATAATGGCCATAGCAGGTTGGACTTCATCCGAGCTGTGCTTTCAGTGCTGAAATGAAAGTTGTGAAGAATTCTCAAAAGGTAACAGCTGTGGCTATACTGAATCCCAGCAATATGTGCCAGAAAACCGGTGTGCAAAGCTGTGTTGCACAGGACATCCTGTCCTACCACAATCCAGATCACTGTGTTCTAGCTGTGTCTTGATGTCATCATGGCTAGGCTTCGTGAATGAAGATTTGGGAAGGGCTCTACCCACATTTGCTACAAGCTCACTGGTGGCTAAAAAGGCCAATGTGAGAGAGACTGGTCTGGTTGCAAAAGGCACAGCGGAAAGACTCCTGAGGTGGTATCAACAAGACACAGTTCTTTCTGTGTTGTCTTTTCTCCTCGAGAGTGATCCTGCGTGCGTTCTCAAAGGAAGCAGCAGCGTTATAGACAGTGTGTCTCCAGACCTCCCAATTGGAGGCCAGAGTAGACCAGTGATGATGATGTCTTGATGTAGCTGTATCCCAAAATGGGGATGGCAGCCAAGTGGTAGAGGTACCTGTAAGTATTCTCTTTCCAGTGCTGGGCAGGCACAAGCCTTTAGAAAGGCCATGATGTGGGAAAATGGCTGCTGCATCGGTTATGTCTGTAATTAAAGCATATTGTTGTAGGTATGTAGCATCTGTGGTGTAAATAGGCTTGAGGTTTTATATTTGATGCTATTAGTTTGCCTCTATATT